TGATTTTTGTTTGGGGTACTACTTCTGGGAATTTCATATTATATATATATTTATTTATTTTTTTTTTTTTGGTCACTTTTCTCCTTACAGAACTTTGAGGTGGAAGCTGATGACCTGGTGACTATTTCAGAGCTGGGCCGGGGGGCCTATGGAGTGGTGGAGAAAGTGAGGCACGCTCAGAGTGGCACCATCATGGCTGTGAAGGTGAGGATGGCTTCCTCCTGGTGGGGCAGAGGGGCTGTGGGGCAGAATGGGGACAGAAATGGGGGGCTTGTTGATTTGGTACCCTCCTGTGTCCCCATACAGCCCAACGTTGCACTTAGGTGGTGTCATTCATTATGGTGTTGTTTGTAAGAGGTCATCTGGGCATCTCTGAGGTCTGTGCTGGCTACAGAACTCCACCTACATCAAAACCTTTGTTTTTTCTTAATATTTCTCAGAGGATTCGTGCCACAGTGAACACTCAGGAGCAGAAGAGACTGTTGATGGACTTGGATATCTCCATGAGGACAGTTGACTGCTTCTACACTGTCACTTTCTACGGAGCCCTATTCCGAGAGGTGAGAGGCTACTGTTACACAGCTCCTTGGGTCTGTGTGTGTCCTCTGAATGCACGAAACTGTCTCAAACCACCTCTGTTTCCTACTGCTGAAGTGGGCTGGTTGAGGTGGTACAAAGCCCAGCTGTTGCAGGAGGCAGCAGGTCCCTTTCCATGCTGCAGCAGCAAGTGCCCAAGCGTGTTGGCGGTGGGCTGGGCTGGATTTCAAGCAGGACGCTCTTGGATGTGGCTGTTGGGAGTGCTATGAGTGGTACCCCAACATCAGTGCCCACTGTTATCAGGTGCAATGCTGGTATGTGGTCGGCAGTGGCTGCACCATGGGGATGTTGGATTGCCCTGGGTGGAAGCGTGGTGCCCCTGTCTGCCCCCACTGTGTCCTTTGGCTCCTGGGGGGGGGTTGGAGAATTTCCTATAGCTACTTTCTCTCCACCTGCAGGGTGATGTGTGGATCTGCATGGAGCTCATGGATACTTCCTTGGATAAATTCTACAAGAAAGTACTGGAGAAGAAGAAAACCATCCCTGAAGACATTCTGGGAAAAATGGCCGTGTCTGTGAGTGCTTGTGCCACCCCCACCCCGCCTCGAGCTTTGTGCACTCCTCATGCTCTGTGGTTTGCACTCCTACTGGGGTTTGCTGAGTGCTGAGCTACGTGTGGCTAATGGTGCTCTCCTGCTCTGTTTGTCTGCAGATTGTACGAGCTCTGGAGCATCTGCACAGTAAACTGTCCGTAATCCACAGAGGTGGGTGCTCAGTGGGATTCATGTAGTGTGCTGCAATGCCAGCCTTGCGATGGGTTATGGGAAGGCTCCTTCCAAGGAGATGTGTGATGTGTGCCTCTGGAACACCTGCAGTTGGAGTCTGGTGGCACTTGGGGCCGTGGTGGACACGCTTAGATGCCCCAGGCCTGTTTCAGTGGTGTGTCCTTCACGCATCTGCTTATTTGATGTTCTCTTTCTCCTTTCTACATGAGGGGTTGGATATAATGACTGAATTCTTTGCTGTCTGTATTTCTGTAGGCATCTCTGTCTCTTTCTGAGTACTGAGATGCATTGCAGACAGCACTTAGGGATGAAATCATATACCCTTCTTGGCTGGGTAGTTCTGGCAAGGGGAGAGATGAAGACCTCGCAAAACACTGATGGGCATCATAACAGCCAGGTCCTGCTCTTCATCTTAACACAGTTTGTCATGTACTTGCACACAGGTCATGATGGGCCTGAGACGAGCTGTCCTGAGAGCTTGGTTGAGTTTTCAAGGCTGTGTTTGCTCCATAAATTGCTCCTGAGGAACTGCATGTTCTGTGTGAAGCTTAGCGTTTTATTTCAACTGCATAAGGGCCAGAGTGGGGGGGTTGCTCCTGTTTTTTCCACCGCCATCCCTCCCGTTCCCTGTCACCAGGGAGTTCCTTATGCTGTCCCGGGCCCCATGGTACCTCTACAAAGGCCCCATCTGTTCTCACGTGTTCTTTGTTGTAGATGTGAAACCTTCCAACGTGCTCATCAACAAGGAGGGACACGTGAAAATGTGTGACTTTGGGATCAGTGGCTACTTGGTGGACTCGGTGGCGAAGACAATGGATGCTGGCTGCAAACCATACATGGCTGTAAGTGTGCTTATGTTCAATCCATCCAGCCTCACCTTGAGAAGGCTGCTGCTGCTTAGAAACTGGTCTTGGCTCACCTCTGTGCTGAGGTTGAAAGTGTGTTCTGGGTTTCCTGACTCAGTAGTGTCCTGCAAGGATGGGATTCCCCTCCCTGTAAGCCCTGCTGTTTAATAGACTCATAGAATCATTAAGATCACTAATGCCAACCCATCCCACCATGACACCAAACTGTGTCCCTCAGTTCCTCATCTCCATGGCTATGGAATACCTCCAAGGATGGGGACTCAACCACTGCCCTATTTGTGTCCGTGTTGCAGCAGACTCTTCCTGTTCCCCCTTTCTTTCACAAAAGGGTGAAAGTCTGGCTGGTGCTGGTTGTGGTGGGTGGAATCATAGAATCGTTAAGGCTGGAAAAGATCACTAAAATCATCTAATCCAACCATCAACCCACCCTATTGGGTTGGAAAGCTGCTCTTGACTAGAAAATGCTGAGGCTTTCCTTGGTAGGATCATTTCATCCTCATTCCATGGCACTGGTGTGGGGGAGCTCCTGCTCCTGGGGCAGGCACCCTCCTGCAGGGATGATATAGGGGAGGGGAGTGCTTGTGGAGGCGATGTGGAGTGGGACATGGCACTCGCTCGTGCTTGCAGATGTAACCTCAAACCCTGCCTTTGTGAGGATGTGAGCTAGGGGAATCTACCAACCTGGGTTTTGGAGCCAGAGATCGGCTGTGTGTGGTTTGCACTGTGAAAATGAGACAGAACTGTAACTGTAAAATCTTCCGTTTTGCTTTTGCAGCCAGAAAGAATAAATCCTGAGCTGAACCAGAAGGGCTACAATGTGAAGTCGGATGTCTGGAGTCTGGGGATCACAATGGTAATGCAGAGGGCGGGTGCCAGCACTGTGATGCTGGAAGTGGGCTGGGGTCTGTGCTGGGGGCTCCAACTTTGAGGTGGTGTGTGTGGTTAGCAGCAGCCTTGCCCGAGGGGCAGCTCACAGCAGCTAACAGGAAGGGGAAATGCTTTCAGTTCCAAAATTGCAGCTGCTCAGGATGGTTCCTCTGCCTCCTGCAAGAAATGGATCTGTCAGAAAGCAGCTGAAGTCTTCTGGCATGGGAGGACAAAGGAAATCACAGCTGCTGGCTCAAGGGGAATGCTGCCTGGGAACAGTTCTGCTTTCCAGGAGACTACATCTCTTGCTTAGACTATTCCCCTAAAGTTTTCCTGCACCTTTTTAGCTGTGACCTTCATTTTGGACACTGTCTCCTTGCATCTGTATGTGCTGCATCCCTCTTGGTATCTCCGTGCTGTGCAGAGCAGAGCTGTGCTTGCTGCAAAAGCAATCAGCTCCAGCTCTGATCTGAGGTGCAGGAAGCTGTGGGATGGGAAATTGTGGCAATGACGAAACCTGAGCTCTTCCAGCACTGGATGGGAGAGGGGTTTTTACTGAAAGCCTGCCAGCCTGCAGCTGGATGGAGCCCCAACCTCATTCCCTCTAGTATCTTCCTCCTGGGCTGGCTTCCTATTTTGTTTACTAATTTCTGGAGGGGTTTGATTGAAGAATAGCCCTACTTAGGGCTACTGAGCTGCAGGGCTGATCCTAGCTTTATTCATTTCTCACTTCCCATCCCTTGGCCTGAGATGCCCAAGAGCTGTGATGGACTTTTTCCTGCTGGAATGGATGATGGAGCAGGGTTAGCTGCAGCGGTTTGATAAACATCATCTTAAGTTATATTCTAAACTTGCTTTCACTTGGGCTCATGGATCTCTTTGTGCCTAGATCATACAGCCTGCAGTCCAGAGGGCAGGTTATGTTGAGAAGAGCACTCCAGAAGCCAGTGCAGAAGTAGCACCGATGCTGCTTTGATTATCTTTTTAAATAACCCTGTTTTACATATATTTGTCTGCTTCCTGTAAATGCATTAATTTGCTGAGCAGGCCTCAAAAGGAAGTATTTTTTGCCTCTAGGTCTTTGTATTTAAAAAAAAAAAAAGGGGGGGGGGGGGGGGAACGTAAAGTAGTATGACCCAAATTGAAAATGGTTTGTTAGGAGGGAGGCTTTTCATCTTGAACCTGCACTCGTGCAGCCTCTGATGTGGGGCAGCCCTGGTGTCTCACAGTGTCCTTGTCCCCAGATCGAGTTGGCCATCCTCCGCTTCCCCTACGAGTCCTGGGGCACCCCGTTCCAGCAGCTCAAGCAGGTGGTGGAGGAACCCTCACCCCAGCTGCCTGCTGAGCGCTTCTCCAAGGAGTTTGTGGACTTCACGGCACAGTGGTGAGTGTGGCAGAGGCTGGGCTGAGCAAAGTGCAGGGCTGGGGTTGGCTTTGGAGCCTGTTTATCTCCTCCTTGTACTGAGCTGGTGTATCTGCTGCAGTGGGAATGGGTTTTGTTGCCCAAAGGGGTTTTGTTCTCAGTGTGACTCATCCAGGCTGCTTGGAAGGCAGAGGTTTCTTTTCCCGTTTTACCATTGGCGCTGCTCAAGTGTTGGTGGTTTCTGGCAGCGTGGTGATGGAACAGCCCTCTGGCAGCATCTGGGTGCCTCTGGGTGAACCTGGTTTGTGGTTTTGTGGGTTCAAGGAGCTGTTCCCCTCGAGTTCTCTCTGCATCTGGCCTGTTTGGAGGTGCCACGAAGCCCTGGGATGGTTGGTGGGAAGCCACCTCCTCTCCTTCCCAGCAGGGCTGCTTGCTTCTGGGTTTGGCAATATCCCAAATCCGTCCTTGTGGTTCCCTTCTTGGGTGCTTCAGGGCCATGTGGTTCAGCTCAGAGGGAGAGGAATGGGTGCTGCCTGCCCAAAGTGAGGTGTGACTGGGGAAGGGGAAGGGGAGGTCCCTTCTGATAGACCACAAATAGGAAAAAAAAAAAAAAAAAAAAAATCCTATAGCCTTTTTTTTTTTTTTTTTTTTTTTTTTTTTTTTTTTTTTTCCCCCCTTCAGTTTAAGGAAGAACCCCGCTGAGCGAATGAACTATTTAGAACTTATGGTAAGTTTGGGGCCATCTCTGCTGCCTTCATCTGGTACATGAAATATGTTGGAATAAAAGGTCCTGGACAAATGGTACAGCAGGACGCGGGGTGATTTCCAGGCACACGGTGGGATGGGCGTAGTGTGTCTAAGGTACAACGGTGTATTGAGTTTTGTGGGTGTTAAGGGGATTCAGTGATCAAGGTCAAGCTTTCTAGATGTTTTTTCCTTCTGTCCCACCTGCTTTTGGAGAGTTTAGGTCAACCACCCCAAATGGTGGTAGTGCAGCTGGATTTTAACCTGGAAACACCAAACCCAAAAGTGTTCAGCTTTAAGCTGATTTAGTGGAGGGTTGTTAGGGTAGAATGGTTAGGTCACGGTTGGACTCGATGATCTTTGAGGTCTTTTCCAACCTGAGTGATTGTATGATTGTGTGACATCCATGGGAGTCTGCAGGGGATGCTGCTGCTCACTTGGCCAGTGCTGTGACACCCCTGGGGCTGCTTTTGGACTGCTCCCTGCTGGGCCATGACTGATGCCTTGCTTCTTGTTGACAGGAGCACCCCTTCTTCACCCTACATGACACCAAAGAGACTGACATGGCCTCCTTCGTGACAGAGATCCTCGGGGATGACTCTTAACTGGAGCCCCACTGTTCCGTGCAGTCCCCGCAGCGGAGCAGATGCGGACTTGAATTCGTGATGGTTTGCACAAATTGTGTTCCTCAGCCCACGGACAGCTCTGGGCACAGCCCCATCGCAGCCTCTTTTCTCTTTGCCTGAAATCTTCAAGGAAGAGCCTTGGAAGCCAATACCTTCACCCCTTCAAATGCTGGGGGCACGGGGTGGGGATGGTGCCCAACCTTGGCACGGTCTGTGGGGAACTTCTGCCTTTCTTCCCCTTTGCTGCCTGGGGCTGGCAAAGAGAAAATGCTGCTGTGCTTCTTCCCCCTCCTTATCTGTCCCCAGCCCCTCCCCCAGCATTTCACCTGGTTCTCTGCCTCATGTTCCTGAGCAGCACTTCAGGAGGCTGCAGGGCTCCATGGATACACTGCTGTCCCCGCACAAAGCCATCTTGATGACAGCTGGGTGACCCTTCAGCACAGCCCCAGGCCTGACACCCCCTTCACTGCGTGATCTACTGCTCCCCTGCAGAGGAATAAAAGCGTATTTCCCCCCAGTTCACCCCACCACGAGCAGCAGCCCTCCCTCTCTTGCTTCCTTCATGGACCTTCTCCTCTGTGCTCACCCTGGGGCTGCATGACACTGGAAGAGGTGAGGATGGCTGAGCATCTACCACCACTCCTCATCCTGCAGGAGGATGCTGCCCCAGCTCTCCATCCTCTTCCCCCTTTGGGGCTCATGTAAGACCTCACACTGTGACCCCATCACTGCCTCCAGCTGTGGCCCCAGCCGCCATCTCAGCCCCAACACCCCACAGCCCAGTGCAGGGGCTGCTGCCAGTTGTACATTTTGTGTCTATATATAATGGACTTTGTAACATGTTTCTGGGTTTTACTGCACTTGCTATAAATTAAAGCCCTTCTGTGTGGGTGGGAGGAGGGAGGAGCGCTTCCTTCTCCCCTAAAGCATCTGCTGTGAGCCCCGCTGTGTTCCATCCACGTGTGGGACTGCAGACTGAAGGCACCGCTGTGGGTTTTTTATTTTTAATAGATTGAGTTTTCAGAGGGATTTTTTTTTCCTTTTCTAATATATTTGTGTGTGTGTGCGTGCTATATATATATTATATATTTTTAAATCAGTGATGATGGTGTGAATGTCTATGTGAGCAGCAGTTCTGCTGCCGTGACCAGCAGTTTTCTGGCTAGATTTGGGGTAGTGGCTGAGGCTTTAGAAGACAGACTGCCCTGAGATTATTTCTTTTTTTTTAAGAAGAAATGCATCTATTTTTTAATCAAATCTTAAAAAACAAAACAAAAAAAAACCAACATACTTTTCCTGAGCTTCCTGCCCTGGAGGTGTGGATGTGAGGGTGCATTCCTGTTATTTAGGGTCCTCCCCTTGCTGAAGCACAGCGTTCAGCTGACCCCATTGCCCTGCACCTTTGTTATGGAGCCAGGCTGGGCTGTGCCTGGGGGCATGGTACAGCTCCCAGGAGGAGAGCTTAGGGTAGCTCAGGGTGACTTTCCCCTCTGTCTCACCCTGTCTGCTCAGTGCATGAGCCCATAGGAAACAGCACAGATGGACACAGCACAGTGAGCAAACCCTCACTGACCTTTAACCCTTATCCCACCTCCTTGTGCTCTCCACATCCTCCCTTCAGTCCCACTCCCCAAAACATCCCGTGCTCCCTGAAATTGCACATCACCAGCCTGGTAGGACAGCTTGGCAGCTGAGGTGCTCACTTGTATGCTTTTCCATAGTTGGTCGCTTTGGATTCCTTTCGATTTGCTGTTAAGCTTTTGTTTTTCCTCTTTCTCCTTGCTTCTCCTGGAGAAAGTCCTGACTTAGCTCAGAGAGCACCTTCCCTTTCTCATACTAGGTGATATAGTGGTGAGGGGTGGTTGGGACCCAGGGATGGGGCTTTGCTGCTCAGTTGGGTCCTGACTGCCCTGTGTGCTGAAGTGGGTCCTGCTGCTTGTGCCCTCCTGCCATGCACAGGGATGATAGATCTGGTGCCCACCAGCTTGGTCTTAGGGTGGGAGAGAATATTAGGAAAAGTTTCTTCTCTGACAGAATGGTGGTGTGTTGGAACTGCTACCCAGGGAGTGGTGGGGTCACCATCCCTGGAGGTGTTCCAGAAGAACGGAGATGTGGCACTGAGGGATGTGGTTTGGTGTCATGGTGGGGTTGGTTTGTGAATCTGAGAGGTCTTCTCCAACATGAATGACTCTGCGGTTCTGATGCAGCCGAGTCCCTCCAGCCCTGTACTGAGCACAGTCTGTACCCATGAACCCCTCCTTGTTTTCAATAAAATTCACCCCGAAGCACCCGTGTGCCCTCTTCGTGTGATGGAGCATCTTCGTCATGTCAGGTCCTCTCACGACACTCAGGTGCTTTATACTGCTTGCAGTACTGGGGGCACCCCAGGCTGTGGGCTGAAAGACCCCGCGGAGCATCACCCCGGGCCGGGACTCTGCGGGGCTCAGCGTGTCGGGCTCACCCCCCGCTATCGGGGTGCTGCCGGCGGTGCGCGGTGCCCCCCCGTGTGGGGCAGCGGCTCTGGGGCTGTGCTGCAGCGCAGGGTCGGGGGCACCGTCCCAGGGCCGCCGCGAGGGGGAGGCAGCGGGCAGCGCCGGGGGTCTGCGGGGCCGCGGCTCCTTCAGCCTCAGCTGTGGGATGATGAGAAGCGGGGGGGCTCCGTCCCATCCCATTCCCATTTTTTCCCCTATGAGCCCTACCTCGACAGGAGCGGGGGGGGG